TTTTTTTTTTTTTTTTTTTTTTTTTTTTTGAGACAGGGTCTCACTATGAAGTTGAAGCTGACCTGGAACTCACTATGTAGTCCAGGCTGGTCTTGAACTCACAGCGACCTCCTGCCTCAGCCTTAAAAGTGCTGGGATTACAGGCATGCACCAGCACTCCTGGCCTCATTTTCATTTTGAGACAGGGTCTTTCTAAGTGGCTAGGTTGTCCAGGCTGGGCTCAAATGTTGGATCCTCCTGCCTCAGCCTCCCAGAGTGCTGGGACTGTAGGTGTGTGTCACCACACCCAGCTCAAGGGGGAGGTTTTGACACTGAGCTGTGGGTCTTCTCCAGAGCCCCTGAGCCCTGCAGCCCCCCATGCTGCAGGCCGCAGTTGGGAGGTGGTCTGCTGGGCAGAGGAGGAGCTGCCCACGAAGGGGCACACGAGTCTAGGGTCCATGGCATGCCATGAGTTGGAGCTGGAGCTGGGATGCCAGGGTGCCAGGCTTGTGGCCCTGGCCTCATGGTGGCCTTCCTTCCCTGTTGGGTTGCAGAGAGGAGCAGGAGGGGCGGCCGGCCATACTCGATGTCCACGCGGAGAATGGTGGCCCTGTACGATTATGACCCACGGGAAAGCTCACCCAACGTGGATGTCGAGGTACAGCAGGGGTCATGGGATGGCCACACCCTAAACCACACCCACGCTGAGGCCACACCTATGCCCTCCTGCCCCTGCTGGGAGACCCTGTGGGGAGCAGGGGTAAGAACTGTGGCCCCTCCAGGCATGGCCAGGCACAGTGGCCTGGTGTCCATGGACAGCTTGTCATCCAGAGCACTCTCCATCCCCGGTCTGGACACTTGTTCCTGTCCCCAAGCTGGTGGCACGGGCCTGACTAGCCCAGGGCCCAAGTGTGGCCGGTCTGTGTGCTCTCCAAGTCACATGGCTGGCCAGTACGTTGGTCACACTTGATCACAGGTCTGCACCCATCAGATGCAGTGCCCTGGAGGGGCCCCACTGAGGCCAGCAGTGAGGGGCCACTGTCTGGATGAACTGTCCCCATGACCCAGGCACCCCTGTCCCATGACTGACAGAATAGCCAGTAACCCACAGTGGCACCTTTGGAGAGAAACAGAAAAGGAAAGGAAGTTCCCATGGTCGCCATGGCTGGCTGAGCCCTCTGTCCCTTGATTTCACGCTCAGAAATTTAAAAGCATTTTTTTTTTTGGTTTGTTATGGTTTTTTGAGACAGGGTCTCACTATGTAGTTGAGACTGACCTGGAACTCACTATGTAGCTCAGGCTGGTCTCAAACGCACAGTGATCCTCCTGCCTCAGCCTCCCGAGTGTTGGAATCACAGATGTGCACCACCATGCCCGGTTTAAAAGCATTTTTTTGTGTCATCCACTCAAATCAGGGTCTGGGGCCTGAAGGGCATGGGGCAGTGGGTCCTTGAAGACAGGCATTGAGCCCAGCACCGCCCACCCGTCTGAGGCACTGAGCAGGCCCTTCGGGAGTGGCGTTGGGTGGCAGGGCGGGGCGTCTGTGCGAAGAATCTCCTGATGGCTGAAGGTCCTTGCGCCTGGGTGGTAACTGGTGTGGTGGTGTTTGCGCCTTCCCAGCCGCACGACCTCGAGCTTTGGCCAGGATTCGGCTCCACTGCAGTTTCTAGGTCGAGCCACCTGGGCCGCAGACCATGCAGATTGGAGAGCACGGATGCCAAGAACTTATGTTTAAAAAGAACCCATGTCTAGCAAACTGTTCTGTCTTCACAGGCTGAACTCACGTTTTGCACAGGAGATATTATGACTGTTTTCGGTGACATCGACGAAGACGGATTTTATTACGTAAGTTTCTGGAGCATTGAGAAGCAGTTTCGTTGGCTTTGTGGGGTTTTTTTGCTCATCTGCTCTCAGAATCCCGTGTGCACGTGGAGTGCCCCGCGCTTTGCCAGGAAGTTCACCAGGGGTCTCCGTGTCTTGCATGCAACATTCAGGAGCGCTGTGTGGCCTCCATGGGTGCTGCTTTGCAGAGAGCAGCACTTCTCATGTGTATAAAGTGCGGCAAAATGCAGAAACGTTCTGACACTTGCAAACTGCCAGCGTCTGAAATTCATAGGGCAATTTAGTTTTCAAAATCTGTTTTACACCCAGGCAAGAAAGGATGGGAGAAGCAGGAACTGAACACAGAGCCTTCACTGAGTGCATCCCCAGCCTTTTTCTTATCTTTGAGGTAGGGTCTCATTTAGTTAAGTTGCCTAGGCTGGGCCAGAACTTATGGCCATCCTGCCTCAGCCTCCCAGAGTGCTGCAGTCACAGGCAGGGGCCACCGCGCCACCATGCCCAGCTCAGGAATTCTCATGTGGGGACATTAAGAACTATGAATAAGCACAAGGTAGAACCGCAGAGATCTTGGGTCTTCACAACCCTCCTTGAAGGTGTCCCCTACGTGGCTCCCTGCTCTCTGTCCTCCCAGGAGAGAGGAGACTGCAGCGGGAGGTGGGAGGCTGGGGCTGGGCGGGTCCCGGCCAGTGGCCGTGGCCTCTGAGGGATCAGAATCATCTCTGCGGCCTCGTGACAGCCCCTCCCGCTGGGCGCCCTCCACTCAACTGTCCACTTTGTGTGTGGCTTCGGCTCCTTCTGTTTCTTTCAGCAAAAGCTCAGTTTGGCTGATCAGATTTTGCTATTTGGTTTCTCTGTTCACTCATTGTCTTCCAATGGAAACCTTGGTCTGCTCTGACTCGTTTCTAATTGGATCACCCAGTTAGAACGCTGTTATGAAGACCGTTTATTTACCGAGACATATATCCTTTCCTTAGTTTAAAAACCCATCCTCCTCCCTCACGCCACCCTCCCCTTGGTACTCACGGTATTTGTGGGCTTCGGTCCCACCCTGCTATTTCAATGACCGTATTTTTATAAAGCATTTTGCTGTCTGGGGAACGCTGTGTCGAGGCTTCGCTGCTGCACACAGCATACCTGTGGTATTTTGTGTAGACATCTGGGTCTCTCTCAGACTGAACAGAGTGGCGTCTGGTGCTGGCCCATGGACAACTTTCTTCCCTCCAGTTTCCCCTTTGTCTATCAGAAAAGATTTCTGCTCTGTTCTTATACACCCTTTGCACATCTTGACCCCATTCCTAGGGACTGGAAGACCTCATTGTCTTGGAAAGAAGTTTTTCCTGGAACATGCTCTACTGGCTACTTAGGAAACATGTTGGAGGTGTGTGTGCATCCAATCACTTTTCTTAAAGTGTCTGCCAGTCAGCGGATTCTCTTGGGCTCCTGAATCATGACTTTTCTCTCTTCAGCAATGCGTACACCTTCTTTCTCTCTTTCCTGTCTGGGGTGATCTGTGACTTATGGAATTTAGTAACAAACATGTTGTTTCCCAATATATATTTATTATTTATAGGTCAGCTCATCAACAGAGATGGCCTGCTATTCCAACATTGGGAGGCTGAGGCAGGCAGTGTACAAGTTTGAACCTAGCCTGGGCAATTTAGTGAGATGCTGTTACAAAACAAAGAGCGAACTGGGGTGTAGTTAAGTACGAAGTCCCTGGGTTCAATCCTCAGTACTGGGGGAAAAGGAAAGAGTGATTTAGAGCACTGAATTTATTTTTTATAAGTCAGTTGATGATCGTGGTCTATAATTATTTTTGTTTTTGAAACGGGATCCCACTTGGTAGTTCAGTCCTGCCCTGTACTATGTAGCCCAGGCTGGCCTCGAACTCACAGCGATCCTCCTGTCTCTTGCCTCCTGAGTGCTGGGATCATAGGCGTGTGCCACCATGCCCAGCTATAACTATTTTTAAAGCACTGGATTTGATGTTAGCATTTTCTCGAGAAGTTACTTTTCTGTTCCCGAAATGCTCCTGACCTGTGCTTTGGAGCCCGTGCTGTGGCTTTTGGTGCTGGGTTGTGTCAGAGTTGAGCGCTTCCTCTGTGGGGCTCTGCACTGCATCAGAGGATGTGGGCGGGGCTGTTACTGAACGGTTGTTAGAATCAGCCTTCAAATATTTTCATCACAGAGAATACAGCTGTGCAAACGTTTTTACTTGCTTAAAGGGTTACCTCATTGGGTGGTTTTTCAGAAAAGGTTCACATACCGTATTTATAAATACGTCTTCTTAGCTTGTTGAATGTATAAGCAGCATGGATATAGCCCATTTTGGGAATTTAAGAGCATTTCTGATGTCACCCACTTGTGTTCAGTCCCTTGAGCAGCCTCACCGTGTTTCGTGGCGTGGCAGGACTCAGCTCCCTGCACAAGCCGAGTGCCCTCCCCTCTGCTCTCAAGAGCTTGCACTTGGGCACTGCCTGGCCCTCAGATGCCGGACTCGGTTTTCCAGGAGTCCTCTGGTGTGGAGAGCATGTCAGCCACCGTGCAGGCATCTCCATCCCCGGTCCCCGCGTGCCCCACCTGAGTCCCAGGCCTGCCCCGCCACCCCCATCTTTTCTCCCCTTCCGCCCACGGTCCACATGAAGCCACTGCCTCCAGGTGCAGCCAGTAGTTGACTCAGGCGCTCCCTGCCCGGCCCGGCCCCATGTCCCGCTTTACTGTTCACACACACCGGTGTGGGATGCTGCACATCCAGAATTGCCAGGAGTGTGTGTGGGGGTGCCCCACCTGAGGACAACCTCTGGGTGGCCAGTGTGTGGCACAGCACAGAAGCTGGGGGCAGCCCTGGGACCTGGTGGGGAAGTGGAGGGGCAGGTGACAAGCTCCAGACACCCGGGTCAGCAAGGCCAGGTGGGCTGGTGTCCTTGGGGACAGCGACAGGATATGGCTGCAGCAGCACTGGGGTACCCCACAGTGCCACCCAGTGCTGCGAGTCTGTGACAGGGCCTCTCGTGGGGCAGGACATCCAGGCAGGATCTGTGCAGGGAGACACAGGCTCCCCCAGAGTTGCACAAAGATGGCTGTGTGTGGGAGCAGGCCCCAGACAGGGTGGGTAGTGTCTTGTAGATGTGACTGAGCCCTGGGTAAGGACCAGCCAGGGGGACAGGCACAGTGAGCAGCAGAGGAAATGATAGAGAAAGCACGGTGCAGGGCGGGTACAAGCTTCAAAGCAGAGGCTGGGTCAGGGGAGCAGCTTTGAGTGTCACCGGGCAGGTAGTGGCAGGACGAGGTGGGAGGGGCCAGGGGTGCCTTTTTCAATTTTTAACTGTGGTGAAATAAACACTATACAAAACTTACCATTTCAAGCACCTGTGAGAGTACAGAGTGATGTTAAGGACAGTCACACTGTCACATGGCCAACCACCTTCTGCAGAGCCTGTCACTTCGAGAAACTAAACCCCGCCCCCAAAAGACAAGTCCAGGGATGTGCCTGCATGGGCACCTGCACGCCTGTCCCTCTGCACCCGGCCTGCTTCCCTTTGGCGCCACCCTTGTGTCACCATGCTGGGCAGGGCCTGATATGTGCCTCCCCTCGGGCTGAGCAGTATGTACCAGGCTCGCTCACTCACCTACTGATGGGCCCCGGAGCTGCTGTAGCTGTTGTGACACAGCTGTCAAATGTGGGTGCACTGGTATCTTTTTGAGACCCCCACCGTCAGTTTTTTTGGGAAGCAGCCCAGCGGTGGAGCTGCTGGCTCGAGTGATTCCGGTTCTGATTTTCTGAGGAAAGGGCCCTGTTTGCTGAGGAGCCATTATTGCACATGTGCTAGTTTCTTGGAGGTTTTCTCTGTGGAGACTCGGCCTGGGGATTACTGATGAGTGGTGCTCAGGACCTGTCTGTGTGCCTGGCCCAGTCTGGCTTTTGGATAGCCCTTTGTCTATCCCGGCCCTTTCACCTTAGCAGAGCAGCTGGCCCCTCTTCTCTCCAGCCTGGCTCTCCCTGGTGTCCTTAGCTATGATGGGGCAGGCTGACCGTGTCCTGTTGCATCCCAGGCCTGCTGCGACCTCACTGTGCCGCCTGGGTGGCCTGGGACTCGGGCTGTGGGACCTTCCTGCCCCAGCCACCCAGGTCAAGATGCAGGTACTGCCTTGCCCAGGGAGGCCAATCTGGTGGGTCCTGTGGTGGCCTCCTGCCCTGCAGGGCACCTGTCCTCACCGGGTCTCTGGAAGGTGCTTGGGGATCCCAGGCTCAGCCATATGGAAGGAGCTGTTGCCCAGAGTGGCTCCCGGGCTCGTGCATGGACCCACGCCTCACCGGTTCCTGGACTTTGAAGTTGTGGCTCAGGCTGGCGGTGTCCTCTCCAGGTGCTGGGGACTGAACCCAGGGCCTCTGCACAGAGCTACATCCTGGGACAGGGCCTCCTGTCACTCAGGGGCCCAGGCGGGGCTTGAACCTATGTTGCTCCTGCCTCAGCCTCCCTGGGTAGGGTGCAGGGCTCTCACCGCCAGACTTGTCCTGGTGGCTGCGTGAGCCCCGGCACCTCCCTCACCTGGTGAGTCAACACTTCCGCTGTGTTCTCAGGGGGAGCTGAATGGGCAGCGAGGCCTGGTGCCTTCCAACTTCCTGGAGGAAGTGCCCGATGACGTGGAGGTCTACCTGTCCGATGCCCCATCCCTCTGCTCCCAAGACACAGCCCTACGTGCCAAGGCCAAAAGGGTAAGCAGACCTCCCTAACCCCATTTCGTGTCTGCGTGTGGTCTCACGTGGCCTCTGCGGTGGCACTGTCACGTTGGGGCCCAAGAGCACACCCCGACGCGCTCGGTCCTCCGCGCGCACCCTAGGAGCCTGTCCTACACCTCTAGTCCCGGCACACGCAGGGACCCTGCAGCTCTCGCCAGGCTGCCCGACCCAGGCCCCCACACGACAGACGCACACCTCAGGTGACGGAGAGAGCCGGGCGCGGCCCCACCCCGCAGGAGCCCGGGCTCACACAGGCCAGGGCCGCTCGCATCTGCCTGTGACACGCATGCGTGTTGTGCACCTTTGCTTCACGCCATCACTGCGAGCCCTGCCTGTCATGTTTTACGTATATATTTTTATTTCTCTGTCATCCGCTTGGACACAGAAGAAGAGCGTTCATTTCACACCCTAAGCAGGCATGTAGCCTTCACGTAAGTGAGCAGCGGAGACACCTAGAGAGATACCGACTTAAGCTACCTACACGGACCGTGCGGTAGCCTTAAGGCTTCACTGTGGGCTTACAGAGAGGACAAAGAAATATGTCTCAAAGCCTTGGACCCAAAGTGCTAGGCTATCACTTGGTCTCAGTTGTAAAGCAACTGAACACGGAGTGAGAATATGCTCTTTTCCAGTTCTCTCCTACGAATGCCCTTCAGTATTGGGAAGGCCAGCATTGGGAACATATTTCTTACCCAGCGAGCTGTCTGTTCACAGAGAGCGCTCCACTGTCTGCTCTGAGTTAGAGCTGCATATTGCATTGTTAGCCACTCAACAAAGCACAACCTAACCAGTCTGTTTACTTGAGGGAGTTTTCCTTTGAAGCCAAATGAGAGCCACCCTCTAATCTTAAGAAGGAACAGGTGAGGGGTGGACAGCGGTGGCCCATAACCATACCTCTACTGTGGGAGAGAGCGTCGCTCCCCGCCCCACAAGCACAAGCATGTGCACAGGCAGGCGGCCTCTGTGGGTTCCAATGCAATACTGCGTGTCTGACACGTGCAGCTCCGCGATTGCACTAGGGAACCTGTGGTATCTTCAGGTGTGCTCTGGGATGCACTTCTAGGTGTCTTCCATTACAAGTAGACCTTGATTCCAAATCCAAGCAAGCTTGAGGCCCCTCAGCTGTCTGCCTGCCGCCTAATGAACCTCACCTCCCCTGCTCTGCGGGAGCGAGAGCCTGGGAGTGGCGGCCAGGACCTGCAGCGCTGGGGGTATGGAAATGCTCCCCATGCTACAGACGGGACAAAATCCCGCTCAATCATTTGGAAGTAGCGCAAACACACACTAAGGGCCTTTAAGCTTCCTTTGATTGTAATTAAGGGTCACTTTAGTTTTTTTTTTCTTTCAACCGGTGTGCCATCTCCAATGTTTCTGTAGTTTCTAACTGACCCAAGAGTGCACTCAACAACGCCAGGATTTTGTATAACCAAAGTAGCTTTCAAACGCATCCAAATTCCCTCTTAAGATGACTGATGGGTCCTCGGCCAACCTGACTCAGTCTGATTCCAACACCTCCCCATCTCTAGTCCGAATTCGCAGAGTAAATTGTGACCTAGCTTTGTTTACCAAAGCCACGGCCACCCCCCTCCCAAGCACCGGCCGTGGAGAGAGGCCGCTGTGGGAGAGGGGCGTGCTGCCTGGGCGCACTCTGACACTTGAAAGAAGAAACGAACCACCCTTCCTTCCTGTGGCGGGGGACGGGCGGTGCGGTGTGCCGCGAGCGGAGGGCGTCGGTGGGCAGCACTCAGTAAACTGTCACAATGTACCTACTAGGTTCCTCCTGAGGGTTCAGGGCCAACAAGGAGAGCTCCATCCCCCACAGTCCACCTCCATTCGGGGTCACCTACGTCATCCATGGGTTCTGGTAGTCCTGGGAGAGGCAGGGAAATGTCCTCGAAAAAGAAAAAGGGGCTGCTTTCCAAAGGCAAGAAACTGCTGAAAAGGCTGGGTGCGGTGAAATGACCCTGTGCTTCTGGACAGCTTCCAAACCTATGTGATTTTCTCTAATTCCAAACTAGGGCTTTCATGACTCAAGCACTTCCTAAAAACCCACCTCTCCTCCCCTGACACCAGTAGAGACACGCACTTTCCACTACCATCCACTCAAAGCCACCGCCAGAGCGGAGAGCCGCTGGTGCCCTCTGTCCCTGCCCCGGGTCTGGCCAGGAGGCGGGTGGGCGGCGGGCAGTGCTCTGGGCTCTGCCCTCCCCACCTGGCTCCCCGCTCCTTGCCATCCATCCATCTGTCCGTCCGCCCCACGGAATGACTTCCTACCGTCCCATCCAAATGCCCGCCTCCTAGTGCATAGCTTCCACCGACTCTGGTCTTGAGACCCTAGTTGAGTTCGCCTTGATGTTCTGCCTTAGAAATGCACATGAGTTGTACTGTCTAATAAAAACGCAGTGTATACTCTGGACGTGTCGTGCATTCCTGGTCTCCCCCTCACACACAGCAGCGTGACATCTGTTCAGGCTGTGCAGTCTGAGGTACTGGCCTTAGTCTCTCACAGTAGGCCAGGCCCCGCCCCCACCATGTTTACACAGCCAGAAACTCAGAAAGGGGCCAAGGGACAGAGAGCTCTGCTTTGTGCTACAGCATGTGGCACACAGATTTCTGTTAACTCTCACTGTCAGAAAGCCACACACCATACCCCACAGCAGCACACAGGCAAGGGAAGCCACAGCCAGCAGCCAGGTGCCCCTCCATGGCCCCAGACCCACCTTTCTCATTGGCATCTCAACAAAAGACTCACAAAGTTGTATTTGATGGTTACTATTTTGTAATTCTTGTCCACTTGTAAATTGTTTTTACTCTTTTTACATACTTTTCAGACTGCCTTTCTTTTGTAATTTCTGGAAGGTTTATAAACGAATGACAAAGCTTTCCCCATTGTGTCTTCAAAACTCTATTGTAAATTGTAACATAATAGCATTGCTAGATTAAAAGGACAATTCATCTGTGATTCGGTACTGTGCGTGTGCATGTGTACAGTTAAAGTATTTTTTAGAAATAAAATTTGTTATTTTATACAGTGCCATTTGTTGTGCATCTGTGTTTTAAACACCTTCTCCTGGCAGGCTAACCAAACACCTTTCTCCTACCTGTTCACAAAAATCTCTGGGAATCATCTTGCCTGGGGCGTTTTCTCCAAGACCAACTCTGCCTGGATTTGGGGGTCCCTCGCTCAGGATGGTGGCTCCGGCACAGGGTGTGGGGTGGAGGGAAGGTGACGCTGGTCACTGTTACAGGACACAGCAAGCTGGCCGCGAACTGGGTAACCGAGGTACATGAACCTCATAGAATGAACTACAATGCCCTAGTACGCAGACTTTTCCTAAGGGCCCTAATGATTTAAAAATCCTTCCCACAACAGGAATTTTTCAAATTAAGAGATAAGACCAACAATGTTTATAACAAGAAGAACCAGTATCGTTCAAATCCATTGCCCCACGGAACTAGACTGAGACTTGCTACCTCACCACCATTCATGTTGCACTGTTTCCCCCAATACATTCACAGAAAAGGCCGTCTGCAGAATCCATGCCAGTTTCTTTAGCAGAAAAACAGCCTGAGGAGCCAGGACTTTTGTTTCTCAAACCCAAAGTCACAGTGACTCCTTTTTCTTCCTACTTTGCAAAGGAACCCAATTCTGCCAGCTCCCTAGCCCAGCCCCAGCTCAGCAGGCCAATGTCACAGCGATGGCCTCCTTTCCAGATGAGAAGGCCCCTGTGTGGGCTGCTTGTCCTGCGACCTGCACTTGGATGAGATGGGAGCTTCCCTGCCCTGATGTGCGTGCCGGCTCGGCTCTGCCCGGGGAGGCCTGACTGACACCTCCCCTCTGGGCATGGTTCCTTCTCATGCTCCAGATGGTGTCCAGTAGACGCCCAGAAAGGCGCCTGAGAAAGCTCTCAGTTGTTCTGCTCTCGGTTACTCTGAGCTCATGTCACAGTTACTTCTGTCACTAAAAGGGCTTCTCCTGCTTTTCAAATGGTGCACACACCCGACTAGTGACTTCAGATGGAAACCGAAATGCCTGGGGAGCTGGCGGTGATGGGGCTCTTGGGCAGGCGTCTTGGTCCCCTCAGGTCACTGAGGGTGTGAACTCATTGCCCAGGCCAGCATGCACCTGGAAGTCTCTGGTGGGAAGAGGAGGCATGCTGACCATGCTGTCAGCTCTGATAGCATGCACGTGCACACGTGCACACGCACACACATGTGCAGCTGGTCGCTCTGCCCTGCTCAATAAAGAACGTCATAGGCCTGGCTGCTACCACAAGGACATACAGCTCATCTGACCAGAGACAATAGCAGCGCCCAGGGCCAAGAACTTGATGTGCGAACGCAAAAGGAGCACAGTTCCACCGGCAACAGCTCCCTAGAGGGCTGCGTTGTGGCCTCCCACTCCCCACTGAGAAATCCAGGCAGCTTTTCCACTCATGCACAGAACCCCATTCAAAGACGTCCATTATGAGTGTGCAAAAGACGCGTGTCACTCAGCCTCACCCGCTGAAGGAGCGTGAACTGCTGAGCCTGTGTGTGTGGCTCTCAGTGGCCAGCGCGGAGATGTGAGACGCTGTAGGACACGCACTCCAACGTGGCCACGGCGCTTTCTGCGGCCCTGCCCGTGTTGACGCCCTTTAATGGCATCTCCTCACTAGGAACCCAAAGAGTGTGACATCGGCAAACACCCTGACATGTGTCACACACGCATAGCTGAGAGGGAAGCTTGGGGGCATGAATGGTGGCCCAGGATCCCGAATGCCTGTGGCCCCGGGAACAGCAGCGGGGCACATAGGCTGCTGTGCAGTGCTGGGACTCAGGGGCCCTCCTCCCTGTGGGCCCCTCACTGCCTCCCACAGCTGGGGCCTGTGCCCAGTCCAGCCAGTCCAGCCCCATCAGCACCTCGCAGCCCCTCCCCACTGGGGTAAGGCTGGCTAAAAAGCACTTGTGCATAATGGACAACAGGAAGCAGTGTCTCCTGCACCACAGACCTCGCAGCTTCCCCTGGGCCTGGTGGCAGAAGGGGTGGAGGGTCCAGCAGAGGGGCCAGCCTGGCTTTCCAGGGAGGCCTGGGAAGGAGGGACACAACTTGCCCTGGGCAGGGGCCCCAACCACCAAGGGCACCGCACAATGCCATGACTTGCTGCATGAGGCCCAGCTTGGGGAGTGACCCTGAGCTGCCTCCCACCACACACCTGCCCATCCAGCTCAGCCCCATCCACACCGCGGGGTACGAGGGCACACACGGGTGGAGAGGCAGCCACGGGGGACCACAGCCCCAAACCGCAAAGTGCCTGGTCTCCCCAAATGCTTCTATAAATTCAGAGGGAGTGAATAAAATCTTAAATTTTTAAAAAAGTCACAAACAGATTCTAAAATTCAGCCAAAACCATCAAGGAGAGAAGCTTATCACAGCAGGCCTTGGGAGGTAAGCACAGCGGGAAAGGCAAGGGGGTATGGTGGGTGCAGGTGGGCCAGGGAGCCAGCGGGCCAGCAGTGGGTGGGACCCATGGCTGAGGCCGGAGAGCAATGGCACCCTGGGAGGAGGACAGGCCGCGCCGCGCCTACACAGGGGCCCAACCAGGCTGTGTTCCTACCGCACACCACACATGACAGCCCGTGCCGCAGGAATCTGGGCTCACAGCTCAGGTCAGGTTTGACTTTTAGTAGAAAATGAGAGTGGACATCTTAGGCTAAGGCAGCACCTTCTTAAATACACCTGTGCACACACAAGAACACTGAAAATAAAGAGGCAAATTCAGATAGTCTAAAACAGAGGACTTCAGTTCAGGAAATGATCCCTTAAAAAAGAAACCAAGCCAGAAGGAGGTATCTGTAAATGCTCAGCTAACCAGAGCTTCAGGAAAGCATGAGCCTCCTAAATACAAACCACCAGCCCAACCCCAGGTGAAGAACAACTGGCCAGATGTGAACTGTATTTCCAAGAGGAGGAAAGGCCCTGGCAAAGAGCACATGAAGGGACTGCACCTCATCAGCAAGCAGCCAGCTACGGGCTCAGCCTCCCGCACGTCAGGAGAGGGCATGGTGCCCCCCTGCCCCGAGTCCACATGGCCTCCATCCACAGAGCCCAGGCTACGTGGGCAGTGGCTGGTCCTGGACACATGCCTGGGGTAGCAGCAGGAGCTGGTGGTCCGGCTGGGAGCTCAGGACTTCCTGCCCAGGGCCAGTGAAAACGTGTCTGCCCCCAAGCAAGGGGTGTCCTCCCAGGGCAGGGCTGAGATGCTCTCCTTGCCCATGGTGAGCACCGCGCCTCCTGCAGGACCTTTCAGTCAGGAGTCCGCCCGCCTCTTACCTGCAGACCGAGCCCAGGCCACCTCCGCTGGCGCCTGCCCCGTGCCTGGCAGCCACTGCAGTCCTGCTTCCTGGTGTGTGCTGCAGCCTTTCCTGGCCAGTGCCACAGTGGCAGTGGTGCAGCCCACCGCCTCTGCTGGTCTAAAGACGCACTCCACCTGTAGGGAGCAGCCTTACACGCTCAGACCTTCTGAGGACAAGTTGTTAATGGCCTAATTACCAACTAGCCAAGAAATCCACGCATCAAAACCAGCAGCCCAAGTCAATGTGTCACAGCCAAGTGGCCCTCCTTCCTGCCCAGTGAGCACCAGGACAGCCTTGGGGAGACGTGAGCACCCTGCCTTGCTGCCAGGGTCTGGAGACCCAGACCCCAGGTGAGGGCTGGGCTGGGGCAGCTGAGGCGCAGGAACCTAGTGGAAGCAGCTCCCAGCCCCGCCCGCCACATCAGCAAGGCGCCCAGGCAGCCGGCATGGGCGCACGGAGGGCCACGGGGCTGAGGCCCAGCTGAGTGTCCAGGTGTCATGTCTGGAGACTGTGGCCTCATGCCCGTCTGCAGAGGCTGCTGAGAGGCACTGGGGATGCACACCGGCAGTGCTGAGCTCACCACGGCAGACATGTGCCGGATAGGCCTGCAGCCCTGCCCCAGCTCTGCACAGGTGTGCGTCCTCCCTCCAGCAGTTTGGAGAAACAGGAAGAAAGTGCACTTTCAAAAAACACGATGACAATGTTGTTCTAATTAGACAAGAACCACTTTTATTTTATAAAAAAAGAGAATGATGTCCTACTTGTAACATTAAATAATTCTTAATGTGAATATAGAACTTCATTACTGGCCTTTTTCATTAAAGCTTTAAAATATTTCTTCGAAAAAAGGTTAAACACTTCAACTATCCTTTTTTTCTTTCACCCCTGCTACTAACCCAGAAAAGACACAAATGCCAGGTGTGTCCTGGGTCCTTACGTTTAGCGTGTTTCTGGCAGATGCACACACAGCTCCCTGCGGCAGTCGGAGTCCTGCTCTATGCTTTTTTCCTTTAATCTCCAGGAATCTTTTTTTTTTGTGGTACTGGGGAATGGAATCCAGGGCCCCCCAAATGCTAGACAGGGGCTCTGGCACTTAGCTACATCGCCAGCTCTTCCTTTAAATTCAAAATAAACATTTCAAGAATAAAGTTAATACAGGTTTACAAGAGAGATTTGCTCACTCCTGAAAGTACTTCAAGTAAACCACACTTTTCAACTTTTTTTAGTACTGGGGATAAAACCCTAGGATGCTCTACCACTGAGCTACATCTGTAACCCTTTAAAATTTTTCTAAATTTTGAGACAGGGTCTCACTAGGTTGCCTAGGCAGGACTTGAACTTGCGATCCTCCTGCCTCAGCCTCCCTCAGTGCTGGGATTACAGGCATGTGCCACTGCACCCAGCTACTTTTCAGCTTTAAGAAAGACTGGTTATAATACAAAGTGCCTCACTGACATTTTCCAAACCAAAGAGATCATTACAACATACAAAAAGTTAGCAAGATACAGTTTTAAAGACTTAACCTATAAAACAAGACAAATTAAATAGCAACAATGAAATGAAACGAGACCTGCTGTGCCCTCCCAGGTCTCACCCAGAAAGGACACACTGAAAGCCCAGGAGTCTGGCCAGCAGGGAGGAAGGCTGCGGCGGTGGCAGGTGCGGTCAGAGGTAGTAGAGGCGGTTGGACAGAGAGAGGTTTGGCTCTCGGTGGATGCTCTGGCCTACCAGGAAGGCCAGCTTGTGCGCGTACTGGCACGGTGCAGGGACGCGGATGATGCCCTGTACGGGGAGAGGGCACCCGTCACTCGGCCCCTTGGGTCCCGGGTGGGCGAGCCAAGCCTGCGCAGCCCAGCACTCACCGGCCAGTTGTAGTAGACATGGCAGAGCTTGTACGTCAGCCGCTGGATGTGATCCGGCTTCAGGCCACTGCTATCGTAGATGATGTTGTAGTGGGTTGGAGACACGCTGCCGCTCCGCACGGCCTGGCTCACGATGAAGAAGTCGTACCTGCGTGACAGGACAGGAGGCAGCACGCTTGCAGGAAGGCCAGGAGCTGGGCTGGGTCCTCCCCGCCAGGCTCAGCTGGAGGGATCCACTGCTGGGAGCCAGCTGAAGGGGCAGGGGCAGGCAGATGAGGGCTAGGGCGAGGGGGAGAGGAAGGGGGAGGGAGGGAGAGGGTGAGGGAGAGGGTGAAGGTAAGGGAGAGAGAGGTGGAGAGAGAGAGGAAGAAGAGGAGAGAGAGGTGGAGGGAGAGAGAGGGAGAGAGAGAGCGAGAGAGAGAGAGAGAGAGAGAGAGAGAGAGAGAGAGAGAGAGAGAGAGAGAGAGAGAGAGAGAGAGAGAGAGAGAGAGAGAGAGAGAGAGAGAGAGAGAGAGAGAGAGAGAGAGAGAGAGAGAGAGAGAGAGAGAGAGAGAGAGAGAGAGAGAGAGAGAGAGAGAGAGAGAGAGAGAGAGAGAGAGAGAGAGAGAGAGAGAGAGAGAGAGAGAGAGAGAGAGAGAGAGAGAGAGAGAGAGAGAGAGAGAGAGAGAGAGAGAGAGAGAGAGAGAGAGAGAGAGAGAGAGAGAGAGAGAGAGAGAGAGAGAGAGAGAGAGAGAGAGAGAGAGAGAGAGAGAGAGAGAGAGAGAGAGAGAGAGAGAGAGAGAGAGAGAGAGAGAGAGAGAGAGAGAGAGAGAGAGAGAGAGAGAGAGAGAGAGAGAGAGAGAGAGAGAGAGAGAGAGAGAGAGAGAGAGAGAGAGAGAGAGAGAGAGAGAGAGAGAGAGAGAGAGAGAGAGAGAGAGAGAGAGAGAGAGAGAGAGAGAGAGAGAGAGAGAGAGAGAGAGAGAGAGAGAGAGAGAGAGAGAGAGAGAGAGAGAGAGAGAGAGAGAGAGAGAGAGAGAGAGAGAGAGAGAGAGAGAGAGAGAGAGAGAGAGAGAGAGAGAGAGAGAGAGAGAGAGAGAGAGAGAGAGAGAGAGAGAGAGAGAGAGAGAGAGAGAGAGAGAGAGAGAGAGAGAGAGAGAGAGAGAGAGAGAGAGAGAGAGAGAGAGAGAGAGAGAGAGAGAGAGAGAGAGAGAGAGAGAGAGAGAGAGAGAGAGAGAGAGAGAGAGAGAGAGAGAGAGAGAGAGAGAGAGAGAGAGAGAGAGAGAGAGAGAGAGAGAGAGAGAGAGAGAGAGAGAGAGAGAGAGAGAGAGAGAGAGAGAGAGAGAGAGAGAGAGAGAGAGAGAGAGAGAGAGAGAGAGAGAGAGAGAGAGAGAGAGAGAGAGAGAGAGAGAGAGAGAGAGAGAGAGAGAGAGAGAGAGAGAGAGAGAGAGAGAGAGAGAGAGAGAGAGAGAGAGAGAGAGAGAGAGAGAGAGAGAGAGAGAGAGAGAGAGAGAGAGAGAGAGAGAGAGAGAGAGAGAGAGAGAGAGAGAGAGAGAGAGAGAGAGAGAGAGAGAGAGAGAGAGAGAGAGAGAGAGAGAGAGAGAGAGAGAGAGAGAGAGAGAGAGAGAGAGAGAGAGAGAGAGAGAGAGAGAGAGAGAGAGAGAGAGAGAGAGAGAGAGAGAGAGAGAGAGAGAGAGAGAGAGAGAGAGAGAGAGAGAGAGAGAGAGAGAGAGAGAGAGAGAGAGAGAGAGAGAGAGAGAGAGAGAGAGAGAGAGAGAGAGAGAGAGAGAGAGAGAGAGAGAGAGAGAGAGAGAGAGAGAGAGAGAGAGAGAGAGAGAGAGAGAGAGAGAGAGAGAGAGAGAGAGAGAGAGAGAGAGAGAGAGAGAGAGAGAGAGGGCCAGAGGTCCACCGCTGTGCTCCCACCCTGGGGCGGGAGGTGAAAAGGTCAAAGCAGCAACCCCCAGCACTCAGGGCTGCAGCCCCCAGGAAGCACTGCTAACCTTCCCCCTCTGCTGGTCCTTTCATTACTTAACAAAGAGACAGACCTAATTTTCAACACTGAGGATTTAGAGAAAGCTGTGAGAGAAGAGGGCATGCATGAGGACTATGAAAGAGCCAGGACAGCCCAAGGGGACACAGGCCACAACACGAAGGGTGGGGTGGGGGTGGTGCACTAACGCCCACCCTGTCCTGCACCACGTCCATCGCAGGTACTGTGACGTAACCCACAGAGAAGCCTGAATCCAGCCGGGGGATGAGGGTCTGGAATGGAAACCTGCCCAAAGCGCCAGAGCAAGCTCAGCAGGGCTGGGCCGTGGCTGCAGCTCCCAGCTCCCAACCACGACACACACACCTGTGTCAGGAGGGGCCGGTGCCTGCCCACCCATGGCAGTTCCAGGTACCAGGTCATAGCAGAGTCCAGCTGGAGGGCAGCTGTGCACAGACCCCCAAGATGACTCCCCACGCTGTATCACAGAGCTGCCCAAGGGAGCAACACACATCAATGTCCCTCATTCCAAACGCCTGGGACTGGAAATGCTTCCTGCTCCGTAGCCTCTTCATGGACTCTGCAGCTGGCATCAGGACTGTACCCCAAGCACACTCGCCCTGCTGGTGGGTGGAACTTGGTCCTCATACAAGCGTCCTTCCTGGGCTCCCAGAGGTACTCAGCCCCCTGCCTGTTGCTGGGTAGTGCTGCTTGGACCTCACTGAGCATGGGGTGTCTTGGGGTGCTCAGGCTCACAGCAGTGTGTCTGCAGGCCACTGGGTGCACAGCCATGGGGAGGCAGAGCCACGGGGGGAGCACAGCCACGGGAGAAGCACACGGCAGGTGCACAGCCACAAGGCGCAGAGACACTATCCTCACTGACCACTGTCTCGAGGACTCTGTCAGCTCTGGAGAGCCACATTCAGAACACATAGCGAATGCACTGCAGAACCACATGTGGGTGAGCAAGGCCATAGGCCAAAGCACAGCCGCCACTCCCAGGAGCACAGCCCACCTTCCATGCACATTGTTGGTCCACAGGCCAGGATGCAGATGCCGTGGGCTTGAGTGACACTGAGGCCGTGCTGTGGTGGATGCCACCGAAGGGCCAGGCACTGAGGAGGAGGAGCCACCCCACACCCCAGACTCACCACTCTGGCCTGGTGACCTCCACATCGATGACAGTGCCGGGCAGGGGGTTCTGAAGTTTTCCTCCAGATTGGGCAAAAAACCTGGCATTCACACGTTTCTTCACCACAATCACTGTCAGTCTTGGGCTTGAGGACAAAGGGCGGGAGTCAACTGGCAGCCCTGGCCTGGCCTTCCCTGGGCCCCTCACGCAGGCTGCTGCCTGGCACTGGAGGAAGGGTTGGACTCTGCCCCATGTGCCCTGGCAGGAGCCGGGTGGGTGTTGCACCCACAGACCCAACTTCACCCTCGCCCACCACTCTGAAGTGCCAGCTGCAGGCCCCATGGTGGGTGAGGCCTGTACGTGGGAGGCGGGCTGTCGGCCTGGAGGCTGTGTGTGAAGCTCGCCTGCTGCCTTCCAAACCCCGGGCCGAGCAGCTGGACAGGCATGCACAGCAACGCTGCAGGAGCAGGGCTGGAAGCCCTGGCCCGAGGCCTCCACCACTGGGCCTGCCCCACGGAGCAGTGACCCTGGGGCCCTGCTGTGTTCCTCAGGCCAGCGCTTGCCCAGGTCCGCCACTGTCCACCTGGCTGGGAAGGTTCCTCTTGGGGCCCTGGGGCAGCACGCTGTGCTCAAGACGGCTGGGACAGGACTGCAGTAGGAGGCCTTGGCTTGAGGCCACCTGACCTGACAGGGACCGGGAGCCCCCAGGACGGATGCGCCATGCTCTTCCAGAGGACCCGGGCACCCGCAGGCCCCAGTTGGCCTGCACAGGGAGCTGCCCAGAGACGCATGCCCAGAAACTGCCTGCTGCTGTGGTGCAGGTGGGCAGGGTGGACAGCTCGGGACTCCTCAGGGCCAGGCCCACATGGGCCCTCATGGAAGCAGGGTGGAGGACAGGGGTACAGAGATGGGTGCACCTGCACTGCACAGCTAGGCACAGCAGAGACAGCACGAGGCTTCCCATCTCAAGGGCCTCTGCACACAGGTCTGGGCTCAGAGTGGGTGCTGCGGATGTGCCGCCACAGCCTGAGAATGGCAGCAAACACTTAGTAAGCCCCAGGCTCAGGGGCAAACCCGGAAGGCGAGTTTGTCACTGCTGTGAAACCATAAGAAATGACTCGGCATGTGTGGTAGGGAGGATGTGTCAGAGGCCAGGGCGACCTCATCACTGGTCCTAGATTACAAGTGCCAAGCCAGCTACCTGCAGGGCATCCCCACAAGTCATAAGCACTGCTCCAGTCAGGAGTGGGTCACGCCTGCCCACATGTGGCTCACGCCGCAGGCTTGTGACAGAGGTTCCAAGGTAGGTGCTCTGAGGACAAGCTTGGACACCCTGTGCGCTTACTTGTAGCCTCTCCCAAGGGACTTCAGGCAATCCAAGAACTGTGGGACCTCGTAGTTCACCAGCGTCTTCAGTTGGCCGTCGCCCACGCCGTCCCGGTACACGATGATGCGGCTTGGCATGTACTGGTTGCAGCTGTTCCACGCCCGCAGAGCCGCTGGAAGCAAGCAGCAGGTTCTAAAGACATAACACCCAGGGCAGAACAGCGCTACCTGCACCCAGCTTGCGCCCTGCTGCAGACCCACCTTGCAGGCACACCTTGAGTCCGTCCACCAGCTCCTGGCCTCGGTCTTGAAAGACACAGCGAGAGAACCAGCTGTGGGCAGGGGAGTATGTAGGTGAGCACCCCGCCCTGGGCCCACCCAGCTGCTCCGCCTCCCCAGAGCCAGCGCCCCCTGCTTGTGGGACCTGGAGCCTGCAGCCGTGGACAAGGGGTCACTGAGCTTCACCACCCCAAGTCCACAGGAGATCCCACCTGCAGGGAGAACCGGATGAATGCCCCTCAGGTGCACCCGGCACCCCTGGCTGTGTCTGCTGCCTGTGCTGTAGCTGCACCCCACCCCACTTCAGAGGCCTGGGAAGCCCAGGTACATGGGCAGCTAAGACACCCACCATGCGTACCCTCTGCTCTCCCTCATCGCCCCAGGAAAGCACTGAGACTAAGAGGTCATTTAACCAGGGAACAGGCATCTGGCTAAACCGGCTTTCCACATGGAGAATGTGAAACTGCCTCTCGGGGCAGATGAGTGTTACAGAGGCTGCAGGTCATGGAGCCCAGCGCCAGTCACACTGCGGCTTGGCTCCCGGCCACCTGCCCACCACCTGCCCTGTGTGCCCCTCACTCACCGAGTCATCCCCTCATTGATGCTGGCGACGAACCCCGCGATGGACCTGTGCCCTGCGGTGGTGTCGTGGTAGCAGTCGATGCCAACGATCATGGCCAGCTTCAGCTTCAGCGAGAACAGCGTCACGTCAGTGCAGAGCACCAGCAACCTCAGACAGCGCTACCCTCTCTGGTGTCCCCCAGCCCCATCTTCCTGCAACACCACACTCACAGGCATGTCTACCCGCCAGAGCTCGCCGCCCATCTTGCAGTTCATCTGCAGGGCGATCTTGGTGGCGATGGCCATGATGGTCTGCTGCTTGCCCAGGGTGCGGGCCACCACGCACTGGCTTGGTGTGGGGCAGTCTGTGCACAGGTACTTCTTGATGGCATCATATTTGTCCTTCCGGCTACTCGACAACAGGCAGACAACCTGGGGACAGACAAAATGCTTCCTTCCAATGAGCTCAGGAGCTGCAGGTCCCTGGCAGGGAGGATAGAGACCAACTCCCCTGTGGTGTCAGGCAGCACCACACACCTGCAGTGCGGCCACGACTCAGGACAAGACAACCCTCGGACCCCATGGATTCAGCCTGCCTAGGTGAACCCTGCCTGCAAAGCAGGAGCACAAAGCCAACAAGGTGCGAGACGCAAGTGTGCTGGAGCAGGGACCTTAGCAAAGCATGCAGCCCTGCGGGAGGCTTGGAGCGACTCAGACGGACAGGAAACACACTTTCTAAATCATCCTGTTTAATGGAGTGCCCCCAGGGGCATGGTTTTTAAACTCAAACCTCTGACTTGGGATCTGGATGGAAACACAAACTGTCCCAGCAAGTGGGTGGGCATTCTGAAGTCAGCACGCAGCGCCCGATCGGCACAGCCCCTGCCCCAGTTTGGGGATGCAGTCCTAGTTCCCTCAGCTCCCATTCCAGGCTCTGACCTTTGTCCTGTCCCCCTCCCCACCCTGTGGACTCTACAGATGCAGTGGACCGAGGACAGTTAAAGCCTGCAGGCCCCATGGGGGAGGGGTGTCCCTCACTGCCTTCTCTGCTCCTCTGCCCAGGACTGAGGCTGAAGACTCAGATGTGGGTTCCCCTCCTGTACTTGCTCCCTTCAGCCCGGCGCCTGCCGGCAATACAGGCCAGGAAGAGGCGTCCACCTGCTAGTTTGGAAAGGCAGCCAGACACACAAACCGAGGACAATCATCGAAGGAACACTTTTGCTCAACTAACCCTCCCTGTGTGGGTCAGGGAAGCCGGGCTGCTGGCATCTCTCTTCATGTGCCTTAGCTCTGGCCTCCTCAGGACTTGTGGGTGCAGATTACAGGGCCTTGCACTTGACTTGTCACAGACCTGATGCAGCTCAGGCATACAGAGCACTGGAGCATCGTCAACTCTGTGTGCTGCCACCCAGCTCGTTTCCTGACCATGGCGGCTGTGCCACAGGCGGCTTCAGCGAGCACCAGAGACCCAGCAGAGCAGACCCCACATCCCACCTGTACCTTGCACACATGGCCAATGGCCATACTGGCCCAGTGCACGATACCCCTGACATGCAGAGGCCAGCGACATAGGGACAGGCACCGTGGTCACTGTCCACCCTCACCCAGGCAATGCTGACCCAGGCAGACAAGCGTGCCCAGCCCGGGGAGCTGTGCAGCTCTGTGGTGGGGGGGCAGTCCTCACATTCGCAAAGGCTACGCTCTAGGTGAAAATCAAATGTGAAAAACTATGCCACAGCCACCTCCATAAAGCTTTGGGGTAAGGGGATTGAAGGAGAGAGCAAGCTCACTGGAATCTCTGAAGCCCAAACTGTGGCCTTTGTACACAGACCCGAGACATGGCTGTAGCATGTGGCAGGGGCCTGGCTGCTTGGCGCTGGGGGTCTGGGTCAAGGCATAGCAGGCTGTGCCCAGCACGGGGCACTCCATACAGTGTGCCGGCTTGGTGTGGCAGCCCAAGAGGCACAGCACGCGTCCCCTCCTAATGACATGTCAGACTGCACCTGAGCAGCCGCAAGGGACGCTGGGTGCCACAGCTCCACTGTCATCGAAGAGCCCGGGAGCTGAGCCCTGCCATGCTGGCCACCCCTGGCTTTGCACTTGGAGAACAGCCCAGGCAGCAGCTCGGCCAGGCTATGTGGCCAGCAATCCAGCTCCAGAGTTCACATCTCCACTGACTGTGCCACAGGCCACAAGATCCGAATGGAAGCCAAAACTGCTCAGGAGCCTAGCTCCAACTCCAGGGCAAAGCCATGCACTGTGTATGCCTTGGGTGTATGGCCTCTCCTCTCTATCCCCAGCAAGGAAGGGCCACGCTTGGGCAGCGTTTGGCATCCCTGGCACAGGGCCATGTACTTGACACTCACTCCCAGATCCAGGCTGCACATCCCAGGATGCCCCTGCACGCCCTGCACCCCAGCCCAGTGTGTTCACCTCTGAGCAGCCTCTGCTCACCGAACCCCACCCTCCCTTCCTCCTCCACATTCTCCTGTGTGTGAGAACAGGGATGGGCCTTTCCTCTCTGGCCCATCTGCTGTTTCCAGGCTTCCCACAAGAGCTAAAGCGCGTGGTCAGGACACACACGACAGCTCTGTTTCCTCGCCCTTCCTGGCAGGGCACGCATGAGCCCTCTCCAGCACGCGGTGACACGAGCACTAGTGCAGCTCCATAGGGAGAGTCGCGCATTCCGTGGCCACCTAGGGAGCTGGCCATGCTTGGAAAGCTCCGAGCCTCACAAGTGCCCGTGCCACACTCACTATCTGTGTGTCCGAGGTAACCTTCTGCTGCAGAACTCGGAGGTAGGCTTCTGTCCTGTCGTCCACCTCAATCCTGGGGGCAAGGACACAAGATAGCGCTCAGGAGAGGACACAGTTGTGCTGGACGCCACCTCCCAGTGGTGCTTCTGTGTTCAGTCCCACCTCAAGTGCCTGTGCTCTGCCCTCCAGCGCTAGCACCAGGCTAGCTGGGTGAGACTCGTGCCCGGCCCCTGGGTCTGCCCATGGCCGCTACACTCACATCACCGCCTTCTTCATGTGTACGCCCATGGCCGGCGTGACCTTGAACAGGTTCTGCACCAGGGAATTGGCTGCTTCGTAGTTTTTTCGCGTGTAGATCAACAGCCAGTTGTCCAGTGGCTTCACACTGATCAGCGGGGCCCCCCGGGTTTCCTTTGACCAGTCTGCGAACTGTGGGTTGTAGTCAAACTGGAAGAGAGTTCACAGACGCCATGAGCTCCCAGGAGCAGGGGCTCCAGAGACTTCACCTCGCCTATGCTGTGCTCAAGTCAGAACCTGAGTGCCAGGGAAAATGCGCACAGTGCAGAGTGTGGGCTGCACACCTGTGGCCTCAGTGCTTGGGAGGCTGAGTCAGGAGGACTACATAGCAAGACCTGTCTCTAAAGCCCCTCTAAAAGAAGAGCAAAGCACGCAACAGATGACAGCACTTCTATTCAAAATGTGCCCACACTGGCCAGCTTGTTCCTGGCACTCTTCTCATCACAGAGATGGGACACCTGGCAGCCAGTGTCTGGTGCGGAAGCCAGCTCTGCCTGCCGGGCACTGAGGGCCTGTGCCTCCCATGGACCGGAAGGGACGCAGAAACGACTGCAAGCCCATGGCTCCCTCACTGTCAGGTTGACATTCACAGTACCACGTGGAGGCATGAAAAACAGTTTGCTTTGAAAAGGGTTGAATATTTTCATATTTGCATGGCTTTAATTACGTACAAGTATTTTTAGAATATTTCCCTTTCCTTTCACGAACATCAAATCCAAAAGGCCCTATGACATTCATGTCTCCCTACAGACCCTGGCGGGATAGAGAGTCCCCATGAGGAAGGTCACCTCGTTGGGGAGGCGGCGTGGACACTGTTGGTCATTCGACACTGAAGGTGATTCAGGTCACTAAGGAAGGAGCCCTCAGGGGTGTGCTGGCTCACACCCCCCCACTCCATGAGGTCCCTGTGGGGTGCTGTGCCAGCAGGGGATGTGGTGCCTCCTGTCTGCTCCCTGTGATCCCGCCAAGTCCTCAGCTCCCAGACACATGAGAGAAGCCTTACTGTTTTTCCACCCTGGTGAATCTTTTCTGCCTGCAGAATTCTTCCTGAGAAGGAGAGCAAGTTGGAGTCGAAGCTCAAGCCCCAGTCGCGCAACTCTCTCTGCACGTTGTCGTCTCTGCAGAGGGACACAGCATGGCGCTGAGCAGAGCCGCTCAGACCTGCGGCTGTCCCCAGCCCCCACACACCCTTATGAGCCAAGGCCGCAGCCCAGATGTTGCCAGCCAGGGGTGGGGACAGGTGCCCGGAAGCACAAGGGGAAGAGGCGGGGTGGCCCCACCCACCTGTGGATATACTCGATGAGGCGGCCGACTTCCCGCTGCCGCTGCTCGGGCGTGAGACGCGTGTGCACTGCCAGCTCCTTCATCACACTGAAGTCGTTCCGCATCTTATCGGTCAGGCCTGTGGACACAGTGCTCACTCACAGGTGGGCGCAGGGAGAGGGCGGATGGGGGTGCAGAGGCAGGGAGGTGGCGGAGCTGCACACCTGTGAGGTAGCAGAGCTCTGGGATGAGCATCGCTGGCCCTGGCATGGTGCCTCCTGGGCCCCGCCTCCTCTTGGGCTGGCTTACCAGGACCGGCTGCTTCAGGTCCGTGATCTCCTGGTTGTACTGCTGCTTGGAGAGGAAAGGGGCCTCAGCTCACACAAGGCAGAAGTGTGTCTCAAGTGTGACAAAGGGACCCTCAGGGTAACAGTCAAAGCCCACAGCAAGGCTGGGCCGTTTCTGCTAGTAGTATGAAGAGTGCACCCGCCACGCCAGGGTGGCCTCTCCCAGTCCCAACCTGTGTCATGAAAACCCACTTCCTGTCACCGCCCAGGGCTCCGTGACATTTCTAACACCCTGAAAAACTGGGTGGAGAATCACCAGGCCAGAGCCACCTGCCTGGTCCTGACTTGCTGGCAACAAGACCTGTGAACCATTGCAAGGCCCATGAGGGTCCCAGCCCGATGTGTACTCTGCCACCTGCTGAACTAACTTCCAGGAGGAGGAGGCATTCTTACCCCAGACAAGGGCAACCAGGAAGGACACAGGGCGGGCACACAGCACCCCCTCCACATTCAGGGTCTAAGCAAAATGCCTGCCAGCCCTCCTGCTCTCCCCCTTCGGCTTTGAGCTCCTGAGAGTGACCCCATCTCCGCTCCAGGGCCCTCCAGGTCTCACCCCAAGCACCACTGGTCCCTGAAGCTGATTGTCACCCCCCACACCGCTGGGAATGGCGTCCACTGCAGATCTGGCTGTGTAGGTGAGGGAGGGAGACTAGCCAGGCCCAGACACAGATGACCAGCCAGAGAGGAGGGTGCCAGGAAACAGGCACACAGGCATGCTGCACACAGGCACAATGCACACACTCCAGAGCAAGAGTGAGGGTCCACCCGTCACCCCCACCGCCTGTCACCTCCATGACAGCCCCCGGGTGAAGGGAAAATGCTGGCCAAGGGTCAGTGTGAGCTGCTTTGGAGCCCTGGCTCAGCCTCCCCACTCTCTAGGGCATACCAGTCCCACGTCACCTCTCACACTGTGGAAAGGCCGGCCAGGCGGTGACGGAGGTGGCATGACTTCCCTGCTGGTGAGGACCATGGCTTCAGGGCACCTACCTTCCGGTAGTACTCCAGGAAGCTGACCTCAGAGCCATCCGCCTTCTTAAAGGTGCTATTGGGGTTCTGGTCCCAGTCAATGTCGTCCACCCGGTAGGTCTTGTTGTTGTACCTGTGGGACCAGTTAGGTCAGATGGCATTTGGCAGGCTGCAGGGGAAGGGCGACACAACAGGGCAGGCGGCACAGGGCTCGACACCCCATCTCCTAGCATGCGGGGAGCCCCTGGGAGAGGCCCACCCTGAGAGCCAGGTCTGCGACCGAGGGCTGGGAATGGAAAGGATGAGGGCACCAGCTGTCTGCCCTTCCAGATGTTATGTCTCCCAGAAACAGCATGGCCGCACAGCAAATCTGCCCCTCTTCTGCAGCTGTGCCCCTGGGCATCCACCCGGTTGGTTCTAACATCACAGCGCTCTGAGCGGGGCACCAGCAGCTGAGGCACAGCCTTACTTGGTGAGGACAATCAGCCCTATCAGCTCCTTAGACACTTGCTCCTGGAACTTGTGCTCCTCCGTCTGGTGGTACAGGTTGAACATGAAGTCCAGGACGGTCTCGCTGCGCAGCACTTTGTGGCTGACGTCGGTGCACAGCATGATGTTGTTCTCGTACTGCAGGATGGAGGTGGTGAAGCCAGGCCAGATCACCAACCTGCAGGGAAGGGCAGCTCACATGGTGCTCGCACAGCCTCCAGGCCACCCATGCCCAGGGGGTCAGACTCAAGGGCTGAGTCCCCTTCCTTGCTTTGGTCGCAGGTGGAGACCTGCTCTGCAGTGTTAGCACAGCGATGACCACCCATTGCGTATGAGCCATCACTGACCGCAGCCGTGCCACTGCTGCTGACCACACCACCGCTCGCTGCCAGCTCTTCTGGGTCCTCTTTCCAGGGCCCACCAGCTCCATCACTCCATCCTCTGTGGGCCCCCCCGCCACAGGCGCCTACATCCTCTGGGCTGCTCTCTGGGGGCATCGCCAGCTCACGGTCACGACCCGAGTGAGGTGCAGGGTCTGTGCCGTGCCAGATACGACATCGACCCGCGGAGACAGGTGACGTGAGCACACCACCCTCACCTGTGCCATGCCCAGGCCCGCGAGCCACACTGCACACAGACCTGTGATTGGGAATGTCAATCGGGTCGTGTGGGTTGTAATAATTCCGTCCAATCTGTTGCAGATTCATAATTTTTAGGAGCCTGGAAATTGAAAGTCAGACAGTCAAAGCAGTGGGCACCGACAGCACCGCACACGATCCACGGCAGGGCGCCAGGCTTCCAGCAGGGCTGGCAAGTGGTCCCTGCAGCCAGGCCAAGGGCAGTGTCTTCATGTGGCTTGTGAGCTCACACAGGTTTTCTAAATTCTTAAGGCAGCTAAGGTTATTTTGAGACAGGTGAAGTGTAGGGAGTCAGAACCTCTGTGTCCCTCAGGGCAGCTGGCCCATGAGGCTCTGTGGAAGTCAGCCACCCTCCCTTCCTTAGGGAGCAGGGCTCCACCAATAAGTCACCCAGCAAGGTCCGCCAAGGGGATAGGGACTGAGAGCACCTCAGGGAGTCGAACACACAGGAGCCCCACCCATGGCAGCAGGCGCTGTAGGGCTACTCAGCACAGCACCTGCCTGGGATGGGAGGGGTCGGGGTTTGACATGCAGCGGGGAATGGTGTCCCTAGCACAAGCTCGGACAGAAAGGCCCAGCGAGTGAGCACCAGCAAGTGTCCGTCAGACAGCGGTAGTCTGGAAACAGCAGTCCCAAGCTAGGGCACAGACACACAAAAGCAGCAGCTGCTCCATTCTAGCCTCTTTTCTGTGCCTTAGTTTGCTTGCCCACCCGCAGTGCTGGTGAGCAGACCCCAGGCCTCCTGTGGCCAGGCCCGGGGCACCTGAGTGGCAGGCACGCGCACCTCCTGAAGATGATGTTGTAGAACTGCAGGCAAGTGGGCGACGTGGGCGGGAGCTCGTTGGTCAGGGTGACCGTGATTCGCACGCGCTCCCCATTCCTGGTCTGACTGAACACTTCGGTGACCTGAAGCCAGAGAGGTGGACACTGGCTTAGCTGTGAGCAGCAAACTGTGCCACCTGCCATGCAGCACTGGCTTTGGCTTCAGCAGACTCTTAGTCCCTTGGCAAGCACAGCTACAGTCCTTCAGTGTCTCTGGGACGCAAGGAGGATATGGCAACGTCAGAGCAGCCCCAGATCTCCCCAAACACTGCTGGAGTTTTGGTCTGAGCTGGAACACCCCCGCCCCCCAACACGTGAAATAACCTTGTGCTGTAGTCTTTTAGGTAAAAACAGTATTGTTCCATCAAAAGCATGACACCGCCCAAGGAGGTCTTCGTGCTGGAAGAGCAGAGCAGAGCGGAGACGGCGGGCCTCCATCAGTGGACTATAGTCCACGTGGTACTGGTACAGTGCCCACTGTGGGCGTGATGTCAGCCGGAAATGGTTGGTGCTCAGCCTCACGATGATGCCGGATGAGCCTGCAGGGCAGATGCACTCAGTCCCCTCCCTGGCCAGGCCGCAGAGCTGGGGACCACATGCCTGTCAACAAGGGAGCAGCAGGAGCGGGTAACACGCACTCCACCAGCCCGCTGTGGGAGCAAGGACCCTGGGCAGAGTCCCAGACAACTGCAGGCATGCAGACATCTACCAGCCACCCAGCAGAGCTGCAGGGAGAACATGGGGCCAACTGCTGGCCCACCAGGCGTGACACGGCTCAGAACAAGCAAGAAGGGTGAAGGGCCCCCACTCCCCACCCTGGCACCACGGACTGAGCCCTGAAGTGCAATTTCTAGCTAACCCACCTGTTTTGGACTCTCTCACATGATCTAGGTTCTGTCGTGTGTTCACACCAAGGTCGTGGAAGTCCCTGCGGCGTCTGCCTCTCTCCGCCAGTGACAGCTCCTGAAACCCAGCAGATATCTGCAGCTCTTGGACACAAAAAGAACAGCAGCTCATATACCTGGGTAGCACCAAACGGCAGCAAGGGGCAAAAGCACTTCCCGGGGCCATGAGGCAGCACAGAGGTCTGTCCACCCTCCCGCGTCTGCTGAGGCCAGGGAGCAGGTCTGAGGCACTGTGTTGCATGGAGCCCTCGGCAGATGGGGGCTGCTTGCAAGGCACCTGCACCACTGCGGCATCAGGCACAGGACTCCAGTGCAGGGCTGGGGCACGTCCCAGACTTGGAAGGGACCTTTCTGGATGCTAAGCCCTGAGGGCCTTAACACTCACGCCTCACGTTGCAATTACAGCTGCAAACAATGGTGGTTTAGAGGGCTTAATCTATAACTCTACTTAGAAAATTTAAATGTCATACAACTTTCTACTTGAGCTGCTCAAAACCAGCAGTGTGGAGGCACGTACCTACATGAACCCTGTGGCTGTGACACACCTGTCACCTGGCAACAGGTGACCGATACTGAAAAATCAGCCCCTGCTTAGTTCCAACAGCTGTAGCCGTAAGAACAAATGAGGTCACTGAGTGGGCAGCAGGTACAGTCACAGATCTGAGATCAGCAGCACCAGGGGTGCAGCACCAATGCTCCGGCTGTCAGGATGGAGTAGGGAGACAGTGCAGGGGAGTGGGTGACGCTCCCCGAAACAGTGATCTCCCTAACTGACACAGCCCGGCTCTCCCTGCAGAGAGGGTGTGCAGCTGCCTCAGCCTGCTCAGGTGTGGGCCCCAAAGGTGCCAAAGCCTCTGCAGTGACTGGGCCCAGACTGGGCAGGCACACTGTTCTCAAAGTGGCTTATTAATGCTTGAAGGTAAGCCGCTAGCCAGCCTGGGAACCAACAACGCCTTGCATCGCTCCTGTGGGCCCGGGGAGTCTTTCTTTGGGGAGAGCGGAATCCCACAGCATCTGCACCACAGCCCAAGGCCACGTACAGCGTCAGCGTGACCCGCAAGCCTCCCAGCGCCCTTCACCTTGCGACTTAGCTGTGGCCCCAGCTACTCCTCTGTGCCGTCCTCGGCCGACCAGGTCCCCCTCCGCCAGGGGCTGCGGTGGTCTCGCCTGGGGGTACCCGGGCTGCTGACTCTGTGGTGACACAAATGCAGAACGCGCTCTTCCGCCAGAGTCCAGGGACCAAAGATCTGCGCCCAGAGCCACCGACAGCGCCGGCCACCTCCCTCCTCCCCGGGCGCACCGCAGGCCCC